TAAAATTCAGGGTCACCCCGAGATGTCGTTGAAGTGCATAAAATGCAATATCTTCTCATATCTATGCCTGGCCATGGCAGCAGAGAACACGGCATAGGATGAATCGGGTCTGTGGACCAATACAACCGCAATTCATTTTTCTTAGTAATGCCCATGTTGAGGTTTAGGTCCAAAAAAACCTTAAATTGGGAAACCGTAATAGGTTTCCATGCAAATAGTCTGGCAAGGTTTGAATTTGGGTTGGTGGCGATAAACTGTTGTGCATATAAATTGCTTTGATCCACAATTAATGCATACAGATCTTCTGTGAAAAACAGCTAGAAAAAATCAAGGGGAGGAGTTAAATTTGCTGTTTCCACCTGAATTCCGGGTTGGGTGGTGAATGGGGGAAGTACGGGTGCTGCAGAATGTGTGGGCTGCCAATCGGGATTTGCAGGCACATCCGGAAGGACACTAGGAGCTCTATGGGCCTGTGTGCGAATTCTTGGTGGTTGTGGGACAATACTTGTGCTCGCCACCGCACCAGCTTGTACTGCACTTATGGGACTCACCATGTCACCAAGTCATACTGCAATGCTGGTATGTGAAAGACCAGGATGTACTAGGCTGCTGGTGATCGCCAGTTCACCAAAAGGTAGAGTGGCACTAGTACTGGCACTCTGCTGCATATGAGAGTAATCATGAGATTGTACCACCTCAGCAACCTGGGAATGGGGTCGGGTATGCCTGACCTTGGCAGGGACCTCTTCTCCATCGTCTGAGCTATCTGTCAGGGTGCCGCTGCTGTCTACAGGTTCATATTCTGATGTGGATTGTGTCAGGGAGGCTTCCCCTTCACTCTCACCTGACATGCTCAGAATTCTGTGGCCTCTTCACTAGTGTAGCTTTCATTGGACATTTTGGCCACTAAATTTATAGGTACCTAGCGTGACTCCCGGGGAAATAGGGCACCTGGATGTCAGGGACTGCTTGAACCGCTACAAAAAAATTTATTTGCAAGTGCAAGCAGAGATCAGGCCTGATTCTGCAAACACTACGGTTTTGTGTGCAATGTATGAAGTGACAGTTACTGACACTGCACTTGCTGGGGGAGAATGGGGGTTAAGCATAGGGGATAAACGCAGGTGCTGGCAGGTGCCGGGGCTGATCCCGCAAACGCTGCATTTTTGGGGGACACTATACTAATGTGAATGCTGGTATAGTGCTGATCTGATCAAAGATATTGATCCATTCAGACACTATACTAGCAATGGAGGTTTAATGTGTATGAGTGTGTTCTGGCAATCAAGGGGTTAAATGTGATGACTGGTGTAGTGACGGGCAATCTGACACTATCTGGAAGGGATGCTAACTGACACTAACGCTATGTGAAGTCGCTGGTGACACTAATACAGTGATCAGCAAAAAATCTGTACACTGTACTAATGACACTGGTGACAGGGCAGTGAAGGGGTTAACTGGGGGGGGGATCAAGGGGTTAAATTTGTCCTAAATGTGATTTTACTGTGTGTGTGCAGTGGTGGATCTGCTTTCTTCTCTCTCTGGGATGGAAAGTGCTCAGAGAGAGAAGATTTCATCATTTCCTGTACCTGTGTAATGTAAACAAAGGTACATGAATATCTCTGATAGAGCAGGGATCGATCGTCAGATCCGAACATCACTGGCCTGAACACGATGATTGATCGGTCAGGAACTGAATCACGGCAACAGCAGGTTGGTGCATGCATGCATGCCTCTGGTCACCGCGGGGAGCATGAACCCATATATATATATACATGATTTTGCACAGGGGGTCCGCCCTGTAGAAGTATTTCTATTATAGGGTGAACTTAAAGCGGTTATGGAAAGCGCGGCACTGTATTTCTATTTATTGACATTTTTGCACATTTATATGAGTATGTTTAGGTGTGGGCAGCATTGTTTTAGTTGAATTCACTGTTAAGTTGGTTTATTGATTGTTGATCACCTTTTTTAGCTGTTTATAAATATGGACACAGGAAGGAAGATCTCTGATTCTGTACAGGTGATCAGCAGGTCCAGGCCAGAAATCATTGGCCTGGACCTGATAATCGGCTTGTGTTGTACTGAATGACAGCACAGTCAGGGCGGTGGGCTCACACGTGTACATGTACTGTATGTGATCTGGAACAGAGGGGCTGCCTGCCGCAGTATAAGTGTGGTGGTCGGTCCTGAACTGGGTAAAGTCAGATTGTTTGCTGATGATCTTTTACTTACTTTGGTCCAACCCAACACCTCCCTGCCAGTCCTATTCTCTGTACTCCATCCTTTCCAATGCAGCGCTCGCCTCTTTAAAACAGAATGATAGTTTCCTTGGCCCACCTCCTACCTGGATTATTTGGGCATTCATCTCCCTCGCTCGTACAACACACTCCATGAGGCCAACTACATCCCCACTTTCAAATACTTGAGAGTCCTACTTCTGTCCTGGACTCATCTTCACCTCTCCTGGATAGGGAGGATCAGTGATGGAAAATTGGCAATTTTACCAAAACTCCTTTACTTGTCCTGTACTCTTCCCCATCCCCACCCCCCACCGATCCCCATCTCCTCCTATACTCTGAAATCTTTTTAAAATCAGGTCTTGTGATTCAACTGAGCAGACAAAGGGCCACAAATCCCAAGACATGCTATGTATATACATAAGGAACAAGGAGGTTTGGGTGTTCCAAATGTTACTAAATATTTCTTGGTGCCCAGATTACCCCACTAACCTCCCTTTACACCACAATACATGGCTCCTTATGGGCTGACTTAGAAGCATTGCTCTGTTCTCAAACTTCTCACCATTCACTCCCATGGAGTCCTCCTAAATCCAGACCTACATCTATCAGCCTCTTGATGGGTCACACACTCTGCACCAGGAACTCTAATAAATATTCCAGGAACTTCATATCCCCTCACTTGCCTCTCTGTCCTCTGTTGGGTGATCCTACAAAGCTCCTCAAACGGTTACAAACATTACTAACCTGCCACCTTCCCAGGAACCCTTGGTACATCTTATGGCATTTGAACCCCCCAGGCCTCACAAGTTACCAATTTAAAATTGGCTATAAATGTTCTACTAGCAGCAAAACAAAGACTTGGAAACAAGAGCTTGGCCCCTCGTGGAAGTCCATCTTAGCAAAGATGTCGTCTAAGCCAGATGTCTAATAAGAAATTCTTAGAAACCTGGGCCCCGTGTATACATTACACTCACCCCTCCATGTCCCCTGACACCTACACACTGCTATAGGCATTGAGGGCCCCAGGTTTCTGGTAAGGGGGTCCCCGATGTCCTCCATCTGTTCTTCATCTTACCATCTTGTTCTATTTCCTTCCCCTCTTCCTTTCTCTCGGCCCCCTGACCTGGGGGGCCTTGGTTACTGGGTATCTTGCCTATCCTCTGTGCAGGACCCGACTCTCACACCCAGTCCAAGAGTGTCTCCCAAATTATGGCTAACTCAAGATTTCCCCTCCCCCTCATTTTATTCTCTTCTCCTTCCCTAATTATCCTCTTGTTGTCATTCTTACAATGTGTATGGTTACTGTAAACCCGATCTTGTAACACGCCGCGCTCATTGATCTTTATATCCATCACTTGTATTCTCTTGTATGATTTACGGATGCACGCTGGAATTGTTTTCATGGGTTGGTTACTTCTGAACATTTGTACGAGTTGCACAATGTATCCTACAAAACTTTAATTATAAAAACTTACTGTAAGTGAAAGTTAGTTGGACAAATGTGAGGAGCATTTCCCCCGCCGAGATACATTGTGGCCATCATTTATTTTACACAATGATTTCCTATGATGGTCAGCTCCATCTAGTGGCCTCAATGCAGTATTTTTCCTGAAATCCCTCTGTGATATGGGGGTTTGTTAGCCCCTGTGGTAGATGTTTGTAAGTGAGTCCACGTCAGTCAAGACTTGCGGTTTATCGGCACGGCAGCCCACTTTTATTAAGAAGGAAAATGAAAGTCTTTACACCATAAGGTTTCCCACGCAGGGGATTGTCCAGCTTTGTCAATACATCAGATCACTGAAAATGCTAGCTCACCTGGCTACACTTCAGCAGCACCACTGATCTTTACACTGGTCCCCCAGACTAGGACTTCTTCAGGATTACTCAGCCTTGGTTACAGCACCTCACTACACAGGCCCACTCCTGGACTCTAAATAGGGTTCCCCAGCCCCCCTCAAGCTTGATCACTCCTCCATTGACTTCTGGACTCCCTCCACCCCCATGGACTCCCTCCAGCCCCATGGACTCACAAGTCACTTCAGTCCCCCAGACTCTTGGAGCTGTCCTGACTTTCCCAGTCCTTGGGCAAGGAATCCCACCTCACAAGGGATGCAGTCTCCAGCAGGAACCCCCAGCTCTCCTGACAGGGTCCTGTCTCCAAATGGCAGAAGACCTGGCCTATAACGATCCTGCCCACCTATGTACTCACACAGGCTGCAGGCATCTAGCAAAGCCTGGACATAGGACTGAAGGTCTTGTACCCACCAAGAATCTCTGGAACCTTCAAGCTCCAGGTTCCGACCCGGAACTACCAAATCCATTGACAATCTAGAACACAGTTTTCTCTGCTCACAATATACATGTTGGAGCTTCTCAAACAGAAGCCAGGAGGACCCGGTGTCATTGTCACAGTGGCAGGACCTCACACTTCCACACCTCCATCAGACCTCCAAGTGTTTGTGAGAGCTTCTGCTAGAACATTGCCTCCATTTTTAATTTTCTATCAATGGCCGACCCAGTTTCCACACTTCATCCATGTCTTTGGGGACCTCTGATCTCCTTATGGACTGTTTCTTCCATGATGAAGATCAGAAATGTATATCAGGGGGTGCTTCTTCCCCACATGAGAGCTTGGATGTCCAGCAATATTTATTCATCTAGAAGACATTTCCCGCACTCAAGGCACTAATACACCTCCAGGGTTGTGTGGGATCCCTGATGTATAGAAAGACAGGACTTCAGTGAGGAACATTTCCCTCACTAAGGACAGGAAAGTGGCTTCTTCCTCATGTGAGATCTCTGATGTTTGTAAAGATGGGACTTGTCTGAAAAACATTTCCCACACTCAGGACAGAAATATGGCTTTTCCCCCGTATGACTTCTCTGATGTACAACAAGTTTTGATTTTTGTGCAAAACATTTCTCGCACTCAGAACAGGAATATGGCTTCTGTCCCTTGTGCAATCTCTGATGATTATAAAGACTGGACTTAGTTGAAAAACATTTCCCGCACTCAGGGCATGAATACGGCTTTTCCCCCGTGTGACATCTCTGATGTATAACAAGTCCTGTTTTGTATGCAAAACATTTCCCACACTCAGGACAGGAAAGTGGCTTCTCCCCCGTGTGAGATCTCTGATGTCTGTAAAGACTAGACTTGCCTGAAAAACATTTCCCACACTCGGGACATGAATATGGCTTTTCCCCGGTGTGATGTCTCTGATGTACAACAAATGTTGATTTTTGTGCAAAACATTTCCCACACTCAGAACAGGAATATGGTTTCTTTCCCATGTGAGATCTCTGATGACTATAAAGATTGGACTTAGCTGAAAAACATTTCTCGCACTCAGGACATGAATACGGCTTCTCTCCTGTGTGAGATCTCTGATGTGTGGAAAGATAGGACTTAGCTGAAAAACATTTTTTGCACTTAGGGCAAGAATGTGGCTTCTCACCTGTGTGAAGCCTTTGATGTCTTTTAAAATTAGACTTTTGTGAAAAACATTTCCCGCACTCAGGACAGAAATATGGTTTTTCACCTGTGTGAGATCTTTTATGCACATTAAGACGGAATTCAGAAGGGAACCATTTCCCGCACTCAGTACAGGAGAACCTCTTCCCTGTTGGAAGGCCGGCCCGGTCCTGCACAGTCTGAGGTTCCTCAGGATACGAGGAATCCGATGGTCCATCTACACTGGGTGGTGCCGGATGGACATTGGAGGGAGCCGGGTTTTCTCCTGGACTATACTGTGTGATGTCCTCATCATCTTCTACTTTCCAGTCTGGAGACAAAGTGAGACAATCCTCGGAGGTTTTCCTCATCTCCCGGCCATGGACTAAAATACAAAGACAAAGAGGATTACTAGACAGGAGCTTTGGTTCCCCCAAACCAGGACTCTGCCCCCATCAGGCAGGATGGGGAGCAAAGCTCAGGAAAGTGACCAGGGTATTACAGGCTGATATCACCCAGTCCCCGCCCTACTCTGGACCAATCAGTGAGCAGTATGGGTGGAGGAATGGATTTAGTGTTCATGACCCACCTGTGCTGATCTCTGTAGGAGTGTCCTCCTCTATAAATGTCCCCGTTATTCCATCCTCCTCCATAGACTGCTGATCATCCCTCACATACGTCTCTTCTTCTTCTGCTTTCACCTCAACTTTTATATCTATCAGATCTTCACCCTAAACCAAGGAAATGAGAGAAAATATCATCTATAAAATATAAGCTCACATAAAAAAATCCAAATATTGTCCCAAGTCCATGCTCTCCGCCCCACCAACCTTGTAATAGTGAGGGATGGTGTGACCTTCCTGTGTGGAATCCCGGGAATACAGAGGATGGGGACATCTCTCTGGTGGGTTCCTGGTATTAGGTGGCTCCATCATATCCTTGTGTCCTTCTGAAAACTCCTCCATCACTCCATACTCCTCATCCTCCTCTTTATACTCTTCTTTAACATCAATATTATCATCCCCGAGGATTCCACTCTGAAAGATATAATAAAACATTCATTGTAACAAACATGCTGTGTATAAATCACAACTACCAATAATTGTCATCATCTACCTGATGATGGTGAGGGATGGTGTGACCTTCCTGTGTGGAATCCCGGGAATACAGAGGACGGGGACATCTCTCTGGTGGGTTCCCATGACTGGATCCATCTGTAGGAAACACACACACTGACTGAATCCATTGTTTCTATGTGTTTATCAGATGATGGGGGATCTAGGTGGATCCTCCGTACTGCTCTCTCCTTTACAATAAAGTCTCCCTCTTACCCGGTGATGTGAGGGGCGGCTGATTGTCCATCATGACGTCCTTGTAGAGATCCTTGTGTCCTTCTAAATACTCCCACTCCTCCATGGAGAAATAGACAGTGACACCCTGACACCTTATAGGAACCTGACACACACAATGATACAGTCACCATCCAGACACATCCCTTGTCTGTTACTGGAGAATGTCCCAGAATTCCCGGCACCCGCTCACCTCTCCTGTCAGCAGCTCAGTGATCTCTCTGGTGACTTCTAGAATCTTCTTCTTCTTTCTCTCTTCTATCAGGGAGGGAGGTGGAGGCAATGTGATGTCATATGATCTCCAGACTTCACAGGAGGAAAACTCTACATCTGAACACAAATAGTCACATCAAATGATATTCCCAGAATCCTCCTCACCTCTCCATTCAGGTCTGTTTTAGTGAAGCCCCACATCAGGCTGAGGTATAAGGAATTCTGACATCATTACATGAAATGAAGGAGCAACAGTTCTGCTTTGGCTGTGAGGATGTAAAGGGTCCGCCCACATCCTAAGAGTACTGGATAAAAGAAAAAAAGAGCTGGATGGAGGGATATTGGGAGGAGGAGGAGCTGTGAGATCAGTGTGATGTCATAGGATTCTCTGACTCTGGATGGAGGGACATTGGGAGGAGGAGCTGTGAGGTCAGTGTGATGTCATAGGACATATAGACTCTGGATGGGGGGACATTGGAAGGAGGAGCTGTGAGGTCAGTGTGATGTCATAGGATTCTCTGACTCTGGATGGAGGGATATCGGGAGGAGGAGCTGTGAGGTCAGTGTGATGTCATAGGATTCTCTGACTCTGGATGGAGGGATATCGGGAGCAGGAGCTGTGAGGTCAGTGTGATGTCATAGGATTCTCTGACTCTGAATGGAGGGACATTGGGAGGAGGAGCTGTGAGGTCGGTGTGATGTCATAGGATTCTCTGACTCTGGATGGAGGGACATCGGGAAGAGGAGCTGTGAGGTCAGTGTGATGTCACAGGATTCTCTGACTCTGGATGGAGGGACATCGGGAGGAGGAGCTGTGAGGTCAGTGTGATGTCATAGGATTCTCTGACTCTGGATGGAGGACATAGGAGGATGTGAGGTCTGACATAGAATTCTCTGACTCTGGATGGAGGGACATTGGGGGGAGGAGCTGTGAGGTCAGTGTGATGTCATAGGATCCTCTGACTCTGGATGGAAGGACATTGGGGGGAGGAGCTGTGAGGTCAGTGTGATGTCATAGGATTCTCTGACTCTGGATGGAGATTGGGAGGGGGAGCTGTGGGGGGCGCTCTGTGAGGTTTCTGTACATCTATACCAGGTGCATCCCACCTCTCCAAACATGAAAGATGACCTTTGTCTTTGGGCTGTGCCAGGACACATCATATTTCTCAGATCTCCCAGAGACTGATCACATTGTAGGATGAATATCTGAGACTGGGATCATTATGGAGAAATATGCTTTCATCACATTTACTACAAATGACATTTTTCTCTCTTTCTTCCTATTTGAATCTTATGAAACAAAGACATAGATATTCCAATCCCCCTAAATATCCCCCCATCCCCCACCACTAACTAAAGTCATAAAATCCATTAGTATAGACTGATGAGGTGAGAAGGTGACACCTCTCCACAATGAGGAGAATGTTCCGACCCCGGAAGTGGGGGATGTTCTGCCCCTGAAGGGGTTAATCTGGGTTCCCACATTATATATGTGTGTGTATCATCATCTGCTGGAGATAAAAGACATCACAATGACTATGGAGGAAGAGGACGGACATGACTATGGAGGAAGAGGACAGACATGACTATGGAGGAAGATGAACGGACATGATGGAGGAAGATGGACTATGGAGGAAGAGGACGACGTGACTATGGAGGAAGAGGACGGACGTGACTATGGAGGAAGAGGACGGACGTGACTATGGAGGAAGAGGACGGACGTGACTATGGAGGAAGAGGACGGGACGTGACTATGGAGGAAGAGGACGGACGTGACTATGGAGGAAGAGGACGGACGTGACTATGGAGAGAAGAGGACGGACGTGACTATGGAGGAAGAGGACGGACGTGACTATGGAGGGAAGAGGACGGACGTGACTATGGAGGAAGAGACGGACGACGTGACTATGGAGGAAGAGGACGACAGACTATGACGGACGTGACTATGGAGGAAGAGGACGGACATGACTATGGAGAGGAAAGAGGACGGACATGACGGGGGTTACTGGGTGTAAAAAGAACATAAAATCTTATTACCTCCTCTGCTGCCACTTCCACAACATCTCCTCTCTACTTCCTGTCTGTGCCTGACATCTTTCCTGCTTTTATTCCATAGAGACTTCCTGTCTGGGTAGAAGTGAGATCCCCACCTTGTGGAGTTCAGAGGAACTGCATCAACGAGAACCATCTGGCAGTGTGACCCCGGCCTTGTGCTGGGTGTGTATGGACTGTAGATCCTTATAGAGGGGTCACCTCCACTCCCACCAAAGGGGACAGAAATATATGACTGCCTAGTGCAGCCTTTCTCAGCCAGGGTTCCTCCAAAGGTTTCTCGGGGGCTCCTTCAGCAATGAACAATTCTTGTCTCTTAGTAACAAATGGCATCAATGATCTGTAAAATCCATCTTCTTGGAATACATCACAGGACACAGACCACATCTTTTACAAGGTCCTGTACTAACACTGGGATGTCCCACCTCAGAACATGAGGGGAGGACAACAAGCCAACAGGTCCCAAAAACAACAACCAGAAATAGGAAAGAACCTCATGCAGCAGCCTGCAAAAACCAATGTGTCCAAAGAAGAGTCCTAGTAGTGACTCCAACATCCACCTGGGTAACATCATAAAGAGTGCACCGAAGACCAGGTAGAGGCTTCACCAACATGATACACTGAAGGTAGTAGTGTCATCCCTTATAAAGGGGAACCTGTCCTTTCATACTGGAAACTGGAGCAACAAGCCGACAAATTCAGGGAATAAACGTAGACATGGAAGCTGCGGGATCCTTCTATTTCGTAAATCCTCAGGAGCCACAAAGAGAAATCCTGTTGCCAAATTGCGGGGCTGTCAACTACAGGTAACCTGATAGACAAACAAATACCCAACGTGATATAAAAACCTATTCCCCCAGTTACTGAGCCTGAGGGCAAAGGGAGGTAATATGCTGTCCCGGCTGAGATTGAGGGATAAAGGGAGGTAATACGCTGGTCCCGGCTGAGATGAGGGCGTAAAGGAAGGTAATACGCTGTCCCGCTGAGAAGAAGTAAATGGTTAAAGGGTCGCGGGTAATACGCTGTCCCGGCCTGCAAGAGATGAGGTAAAGGAAGGTAATACACTGTCCCGGCTGAGATGACCAGGGTAATCACCGGTCCCCTGAGATGAAGGGTAATAATACGCCGTCCCGGCTGAGATGAGGGTAAAGGAAGGTAAATACGCTATGTCCCCGGCTGTAGAATGAGGGTAAAGGAGGCAAAACGCGTCCCGGCTTGAGATAGAGTAAAGGAAGGTAAACACCTTCCCGGCTGAGATGAGGTAAAGGAAGGTATACGCTTGTCCCGGCTGAGATGAGGGTTAAAGGAAGGCGAGTCCCGGCTGAGATATGAGGGTAAAGGAAGTAATACGATACTGTCCCGGCTGAGACGAGGTAAAGGAAGGTGTAATACGCTGTCCCCGCTGAGATGAGGGTAAACTCTGTCCCGGCTAGATGGGTAATATGTAACACTGTCCTGCTGAGACGACGTAAAGGCTCCTCAAGGTCCCCTAATGTCGTATTAAGGTACCGCCTGTCCCGGCTGAGATGAGAGGGTAAAGGAATGGTAATACGCTGGTCCCGGCTGAGATGAGGTAAAGGAAGGTAATACGCTGTCCCGGCTGATGATGGGGTAAAGGAAGGTAATACGCTGGTCCCGCTGAGATGGAGTGGGTTAAAGGGTAATACCCGGAATCATTAAGAGTATATCCGGTCAACCTGAGTGCTGATCGATGAGGGTAAGGGGAAGAAGGTAATACTCTGTCCCGGCTGAGATAGAGGGGTAAAGGGAGGTACAATACACGCTGTCCCGGTTGAGCTATGCGAGTGATGGCGTCCCGCGTAAAGGGAGGTAATAACCGCACGCTGAGATAAGGGCTAAGAGATACCCGGGATAATGAGGAGGTAATCAACGCCTCTGTCCCCTAATGGCTGATATAGGTCTATGCTGAAAGGGGAAGGTAAATAATCGCTGTCCCCCGGCTGCGGATGAAGGGTAAAGGAAGGTAATACACCTGTTCCCGGCTGAGATGAGGGTAAAAGGAGGTAATGCAACAGAAAGTGAAGCAATCAGCCCCGAAAGAAGAGACTGCAAGGGGAAAATTTATCTTGTTAACACAAGGCCAGGACAATTCACCCCCACCCCCAAAAGGAAACCAAGACAGGACCAAAAAAAGGAGGAAACCCTAGGGCCAAAACACAAAATATATTGTAAGGACCTGCGGAATCTCCCCAAATTTAAATTCCCAGCCTTCAAAAGAGCAGAAACAAAAAAAGGCCTCGATACTTCTGTCTTCAAAACTTTTCAGCTGCAACAGTCAATCCAGATGCCCCCGGCACCAAAGGTGGAAAAAACAGGGTTTTTAAAGCAGGGCTTTACTACCGGAGATCCAAGGACTTTTGTAGAATCAAAGAAAAAAAATAAACGAAGTAAAAGGGGGGGAAAGGTTCCAAAATTTTATGGCCTGGTTCATACTGCAATGAAACATGGAGGTCTTTACCGCCACCCTTGGGGGTGGGAACATTTCCTTGCGACCATCTTTAGCCTGGTGTCCGGTTTTTCCCCAATTTTCTGGACCATCCTTTTTGGAATCTATGTGGGATTACATTGCTACCCAGGGACTATTTTTTGTGCTGTTCTTTTTACCCCCCTTGCCCTCATGTTCCCCCAAAAAAAACCCAATGTTGGGGGTTTTTTGTGATCGCCTCCATTTTCTCTCTCTCTTGCACTCCTATTCATCACAAAATGGTTGGCAGCGTGGGATGGAGCACTGGGGAGGATGCAAAAATCTGCCACCATGGATAATTCCCACCCACAAAGAAAAGGGTGTAGATTGGGCTCAGAAACAAAGGGGCTTATAAAGAAAGCTGGTCCGGATACTGGGAAAAAACCAGCCAACAGAATTTTAGCACCAACTGGGTAGGCACCCCCCTGGGAGTATGTCCAAAGCTACCCCGGAAACCAGTAAAAGCCATGGGTTATCTGGTCAAAAATGGCCATTCTGGGGGGGGTGCCACAACAGAAAGGAAACTTTTAGTCATGAAAAACAC